CACACACACACACACACACACACACACACACACACACACACACACACACACGGAAATATAAAAATACATGCATTTATGTAGAGGTTATTTAAAGATTTGCTTGATTCACATTGTTAGGATTATTACAAGCTGAAGAGAGGCCGTCATTAAAGGTATGAATGTGCATACTGTCATAAGCAAATATTCCATTAGAGAACAAGCCAGATCAACCTTTCATTCTTACTATGACAAAGAGCACAATTTAAGAATGTAGTTTTTAGATACTATAATGCTATAATCCAGTAGAAAAGCAGCATTAAACCAAAAAAACCTGTTTCTGAACCCCTTGTAAACAACACCGTCGTTGTCAAGACTGGGAGGGGGGAGAGGTAAGGTGATATCTATTTAAAGGTACACAAAGTGAAGCTGCCTGATTATGTCTAACTAGAAAAATCACCAGCCACCTGCTACACATCATAAAAATAAAGATAAACTGCACAATTATTGTGCATGTGAGAAAATCCATTTAAACAGACTGTCAAACCGCCCACACATTTGCTAATAGGCTCTTCACATTCTCAGAAAAAACAACAACAACAACAACAAAAAAACCTCCCTTCGGGCGTAACTGCGTTTACATGAGTATTTTGACAAACTTGAAGAATAATGTGATTTCAAACCTGGGCTGCGATTTGCCATGTCAGGAGGCTGGCTAACCTGCTTCAAATCACAGCTGTTCTGCAGGGATGTCCCACAGGGAGGATGCGGGAGGCAGGTGGAAGAACAAGGTCTGCAGTGGTCCCCAGGGAAGAGCTGGCAAGGGGAAGGATCAACAAACCTGAAATATTTCACAGTAAAATGAATACTCTGCTTGTAAAATTAAGATCATTTTATATAAATTAGCTTAGCTTTTTTTTATTTTTTATTTTTTAAATATATTGCTTGTATTTTACAAACCACTTAAAAGAATGGAGAACATCTCCTGCTTTCATCTCAAACTCAATCTTTGCTACATTCATGTAATGAATGAAGAATTACAGCTTTCACTTCATATGTGGCACGACTTTCCATGCAGCTGGCTTCACCTTTTTCTCTTTTTAACTCTCTGCCTAACATAACTTTTGTTCGCCAGTGAAGAAACGTGTGCTCTTTATTTTCTGCTCTGAATGGAAAAGCATGTGCAGTGCTGCTAATCTCAGGTTTTTAAGTCACAGAGTTCATGCAGATTCATTCGCTGTGATTGGAAGTTCATCTAAGCATAACATATGTACTCTGTCAGTACCTAATGATGTATTACACCATGCCATCTACACACTGCAATCTGTGCAGCACAAGCTCATTCATGGTATTATCAACCATCACAGTGTAAGCAAAACAGTCTGCCTGCTTTACTCCAAGCAACATACATTTTATTTTAATCTTCATATATTACTTTCTACCAGTCAGAAATAGTCATTAACATTACTTTTATAA